CGCGCTTGAAAAGACAGCTCTGCTGCTGTGTTCGGTTTGGCCCCTGAGCGCTGAAGGTACGAGGTGATAGATGAGCTCTGTGCTCTGGATTCCAGACCGCCTGGCAGAGGGCTTGGCAGGTCTCTTTCCCACAGCCGGCTTCGTACCACGCTTCTCCTTGGCGACACCGAGGGGCTAGAAGAGGGAAATACATGGGGGAAGAAGGCTTGGGATCCAGGGGTCTAGAGAGGCCTGTTAGCTCTGGTGTGTAACAGGGTGGACAAGGAGAGGTCTATCCCGGACCAGCACAGAAGGCTGCCATTAGTAAAAAAAACCAAAAAACCCCACCACAAAGGTGGTGTCTAAAACTAGCTTAGAGCCAGGGGTTTGTGTTAAGAACATAAGAAGAGCCCTGCTGGATCAGACCAGTGGTCCCTCTAGTCCAGCCTCCTGTCTCACCCAGTGGCCAGCCAGTTCCTCTGGACAGCCAACAACAGGGCATAGGGGCCAAGGCCTTCCCCTGATGTGGCCTTCTGGCACTGGGACTCAGAGGACTGGTGCCTCTGAACCTGGAGGTTCCCCTCAGTCCCCATGGCTAGTAGCCACTGATAGACTTATTCTCCATGAATCTATCTAATCCCCTTTTCAATGCTGTTTATTCCTGTGGCCATCACTCCATCCTCCGGCAGCGAATTCCACATTTCAATCACTCTCTGTGTAAAGTGGCGTTTCCTTTTGTCCGTCCTGAGCCTACCGCCCATCAACTTCATTGGACAACCCTTGAGTTCTGGTATTTGGGGAGAGGGAGAAAAAATAATTCTCTTTGTCCACTCTCTCCACCCCCATGCATAATTTTATAAACTTCTATCACAGACCCTTCAGCCTTCGTTGCGGTTAGCATTCTATTTTGGCTGACAAAAGCTTTGCCCTTGTCAGGGCCGCACGACTTGGGCTCCGGCCACTCCCCACAGGGTCCCCAGAGTTGGCCGTGTCTCAAAAGGACTGCTTTTTCTCCCTCTCTCTCTCTCTCTCTCTCACCTTGCCCGCCCTCCCTCTCCTTCCAGACTGGGTCTTTGTCATTGTGGTGGTGCTGGGGTTCTTTCTGCTCATCCTGCTCTTGGGGATCTGCTGGTGCCAGTGTTGCCCTCACACCTGCTGCTGCTACGTCCGGTGCCCCTGCTGCCCGAAGAAGTGCTGCTGCCCCGAAGCTCGTAAGTCTCACTCCCCTCCCTCACCCCCCCTCTCGCCTCGTGGCAGAGTTCTCTGACCTGCCCCTGCCATTGGGCTACGGATGCAGCCCGTAAGGTGGCTTCCATCCAACAAGGTCTTGTTCTGGCCTTTCCCGAGCAAGCGGCATCGACATGGTGTGCTGCTTCATCCTTCGTCTGGTGTGGTATGGTCTATTCCAGGAGTCCCCAACCCGATGCCCAACACCTTTCCTGGCACCCACCAAGTGTTTTTTGAAAGTAGGCGGAGCCATGTGGGGCTTTGGCCCAGCAAGGCCTCTGATTGGCCGTTGGAGATTTGATTGGCAGTGCAGATTAAAAAAAAATCTTTGGGAGCAGCTGCCACCATAGCAGAAGGATCTTTACTATGTGATGGAAAGTAAGCTGCAGCGGCCACTTTATGGCGGTCTCCATCTCTTGGTGGCAGCCCTTTTGTGGCTGCACCCACCACGCTGTGTCAGAATTCCAAAGGTGCCTGCGGGATCAAAAAGATCAGGGATCCCTGGTCTGTTCTGACCGGCAGCGGAATCTCAGGCCAAAGCCTTTCCCAGTTCTGCTACCTGGGGTCCTTTTAAGTGGAGAGGCAGGGGATCGAAATTGGGACCATCTGCATGGGAAACTGAACCCCACAGCTCCTAAACGTTGCCCCCGGGAGACTCAGGACAGGAGCTGTCGCTGAAGATCAGCCGGTCCCTAACTCTGCTTTTCCCCTCAGTTTACGTTGCAGGGAAAGCTGCAACGTCCGGCGTCCCCAGCGTTTACGCTCCCAGTGTGTACACATCCAGCAACCATCTGAAGGCAGGGCCTCCAGGCACTGTGATTCCCATGGGCCCCGTAGGCCCTGTGTACAACGGCTATGGAGTGGATTACGACAGGGCCAGCTCAGGTAAGTGGCTGTTTTAATAGCCGGGTTCCTCCTGCCCCAGAACTAGACCCCAGCTGCTTGGACAGAGAGAAAGGCAAGGCTGTGGGTCCCCCCCCCCCTCAGCTACAGGGTGTTAAATAACATGACAAAAGCTGGGAAGGTTGTGTTAGTGCCAATTACTCCTTTTGTGAATGGTCACAGTACCCATGCGTTCAGGCTTTGCACGGAGACATTCTGACTGTGCCTCTCGGATTTCAAGGTCCTCTACGGCCTCGCTTTTGGCAACTTCAGTTTGTCTTTCTGCCAACTCAGCCAGTAACGCTTCCTTGCCTCTGAAGGGGGCTCTAGTCCATGAACAGCTTTGTTCTGCAATAAATCTCTGTGTGTGTGTGCTTGTGGCATTTATATGCCACTTGTCAAGCCAGGGTGGCTCACAGAAAACACTGAAATGCAATCAAATGACTAAACAAATGGATGCTGGATTGGTCCGGTCCTGCTGACAGAGGCCAAGGCCTGAAAGCACTTTGGCTTTTGTGCTTCCTCTGAGCCCTGAAGGCCTTTTCCTCTGTTCTTCGGGTCTTGCCCAGGCCTTAAGTACCTGTAGGGAGAGGAAGATCAAACAAACAAACCCAGCCGCAATGGAACTCAACAGCAGCTAGCAAGGTCTTCCTCACTTACCCCCCCCGCCAACAGAATAGCTTCATGATGGCCGCGGGCACACGGGCAGGAAAATGCGGGGGGGGGGGGGGGGGGG